TTTATAGAAATAGCAGAAGACCACATGTCTGCTTAGGGTCTGGCTTCTTTTCTTTTCCTTTTTTTGGTACCAGGAATCAAACTCAGGACCTTGTGCTTGCCTGGCAGGTGCTGTGCCCCTGAGCTATATGCCCTGCTCTGGCTTCTTTTCCTGAACATGATATTTGTGACTTATCCAGGTGGTCATGGTGGCCATAGTGTACTCACTACTGCATAGTATTCCTTTGGATGGGCACCATATGACTTATCCTTTCTTCCATCAGGCTACTTCCAGTTTGGGTCGATCATAAAGAGTGCACCCTAGAATATGTATTTGTGGCAAGATATTTGTGTTAAGTATCACATTTTTGGTTAAGTGAAAAGATCAATTAGAAAAGGGATGATCTTACAAGATGATCGCTCTCAATCTCTTTCATGATGATATAAATATGCTTTAGAATTAGGGAAGACAGGGAGGCAAAGCCGAGGTAAGATTGCTAAAGTGGCACATGTCCTCCAGCCTCTGGGATGTGTCCCAGCTGTGTCAGCCCCCACATGTGACCAGCTCAGATTCTCTAGAAGAAAGCAGGGGCTTCTGCAGGTATTGTGGGTGGAACCTTTGAAGTGAGGTCCCATGTAACACCTTCGCCAAGCGGCCCTCTAAATAGGCTGGTGTGGTGGCACATGCCTGCAGTCCCAGCACTTGGGAAGCTGAGGCAGGAAGACTGCCAAAATTTCAAGACCAGCTTGAGCTACATAGTGAGTTAAAGGCTAGCCTGAGCTACACAGTGAGACCCTGCTTCAAGAAGTAAGTAAGGAAATTAATTACTTAATTAACAGCTCTTGACCTTCTCACTTCTCCTTGGACAATTTATTCACCCTGTCTAGGGTCACGCAGTTTGCACCTACAAAAAAGCAATTAGACTTGTGTGATCTTCTCAGATGTTTCCAGTCCTCAAATACTTTGAGACTGACTGGTGTTGAGAATTATTATGACATGAACAGACATCGTGTGTTAAGCGCCTATGTCCCTTTAATTGATTTCTACATACTATCTCATTTAATTCTTCAAACGTGCAATGTTGGAAGAACTGCAGTGTTGAGGAAACTGAAGCTCAGAGAGGTTAAATCCCTCCTACAGGATGCACAGCCAGAGACTATCAGAACAGGGGTGGGAATGAGGCCAATTTCATTTTAGCCTTCATGTTTAACTGCTGCCTCTTTGTTTTTCCTCTAAAGAACTATTTCAGGTATACAAGAACAGGCAGAGAACAATATAATGTATCCATCAAACTGTCTGAGAAACAGAACACTGAAAATACACTTAACCTTCTTGCAACTCTTCCATACTTTGCAATACATATATATTCACAAAAATATCCTGAATTGCTTTGCAAGCTTTTGAGTCATAGTAAGTGGTATTATCCTATGTGTCCTTTGGTGAGTGGCTTCCCCTACCCCAGACTCAACGCTATAATGTTTGAGATCAATCCACGATGATACATAGAGTTCTAGTTCATTAACTTTCACTGCCGCCCTTTAAGAATTGATCTATCCCATTCTCTTATTGATGGGCATTTCGGTTCTTTCCAGTTTTCCTTCATTATAAAGTGCTGCGGTAGGCAGTCTTCACGCTTGTGTACCAAAAGTTTGATGGGCGAACTGTCCTCATTATACAGAATTCTGTGGCCTGAATATCCTCCCCCCAATCTGTATGTTGGAATTCTGCCCCTCAAGGTGATCGTTCTATGAGGCAGAGCCCCTGGGAGGTGGCTAGATCAGGAGGGTGGAGCCTCATGATTAAAATCAGCACCCTTCTCAGAGAACCCAGAGAGCTAGCCAACCCCTGTGCCTTTTCTACCCCAGAAAGCAGTCCCTTCCCGGACACTGAGTTTGCCACACCTTGATCTTCAACTGCTGGCTTCCAGAACTGTGAGAAATAAATTTTAAATATTTATAAACCAGCCAGTTTATGGTATTTTGTTAGAGCAGCTTGAACAGATGGAGATAAGAATTTCTCTTTTATGCTGCATACATCCTTGATAAAACTGGGCAATTTAATTCACTCATCAGTTTCATCCTGAGCATCTATTATGCACCAAGCCCTTGTTGGGTGTGGGGGGACACTGAGTTGGCTACAAGACACAGCTTTTGACCTGTAAGAGTTGCCCTGCAGGACCATGCCCCAGCCCCGTCAGATGGGGGAGGGTGATAAAGGCTCTGCACCAAGGGCAGGGAGTAGCAGTGGATTTCAGGGAGGAAGTGGCAAGGTGTGGCAGCAGAGAGAGTGGCCAGCTAGTGTGGGCAGCGGGGGCAGCTCCTTGCAACTCAGGGGCCTCCTGCCCAGTGCCTCTGCCCCTCAGACCACGACCTGATGCATCTCTCTTCCCTGCAGTCACACTGACGTGTGAGTCAGATGTTTAGTGCCTGAAAAAAGATCATCTAACTGGGAAGCTTATATCTGCTTTAGCTCTGGGACCAGAATTCTCTCTGGCATCCTGAGTGGATACATGGCATCCTCCCTTTGCCTCGGGTGTACTCTTTCCACCCGAGATCATCATGATACGAGGCCATGACTCATGTGTGTAGCCCACAGATGCCCATTGTTCATGCAGTGTGAAACCCTCATAAGCTTGGAACTACAGTTATCTCTATTTTTTAAAAGACAAGACTCAGAGAGAGTCAGTAATTTACCCAACACTGTCCTGGTAGGAGAATGGATGGCTAGAGCTCCATCCCAGGTCTCACTGACTCCGGAGTTCTTCACCTTTGCCAGGATATTCCTGACACCTCTGGAAGTGAATCCTCTCCTCACCCGTGAGAGCAGCACTGTCAAAGAGAGGTTACTTACCCGCAAATGCAGACTGTTCACTACCGACACAGTCTCTTCTTTTGCTTCAGCTACTCAGAAAATTAGAGCAAATCCTATTTTTAAACACTGTGGTTCAAATGACAGTGATGTATGGGTTAGTGGCTCATTTTTTTTTTTTTTTGGAACAAAAATTAAAGGTGTTACCTGACCTTATGCTTGGAAACTCTCTTACATCATTCTGTCTTGATCTTTATAATTTATTTTAAAGATTGCTTTGTTTTTCCTACTTTCTCCAGAGTCCTGCAGCAGAATTTAGCCAGAAACAGTAAGATTCTGAACTGACACAGAAAGCTGGAGAGAGGATGAGGCTTTGTCAGAAACCTGAGACACGAGCACTAGCAGGGATAAACTGAGCACGACGAGCCCTCAGCCAAAATTAGAGTTTGTCTGTTGTTGGGGCTATAAGAACCAGACGTCATTCCTATCTGCCAAAATTGCATCACTGACTGTGCATATCTTACTGCTTTACTGCTTACATCTTACACAAATCATAATCTGTTAGTTTCCGAGACTAGCAACAGGGCTACAGGAGGCTCAGGAGCCCTGCAAACTCCAAGATTTGGGCAAAGAAAATGAGTAAGAACAGAAAAAAGAGGGAGATGGTGGGAAATATAAGGAACAAATTAGAAGCGCTTACTATATGCTGGGACTATCTCACCTACCTACCTTATCGTCTTCATTTTTTGGTCACTATCCGAAGGGATCTTCATTTTGAATTTATATATTAGGCAACCAAGGTCTGAGGTGTTGAGGAGTTTACCCCAGGGCACACAGCTATAACAATGGGGTCACAGTGGCAAGACTTGGTAAATAAAAAGATGGGGCACCCAATTATATTTGAATTCCAGGTAAATGATGAAAAAGAAATAGTAAGTCTGTCCCATGTCAAATTTCAGACAGATACTGTTGTTGAGGGCTGTGACTATCTCAGGTTCTTGGTATCTTGAACAAGGAATTAAGCGGGACACAGAGAAGTAGAAGTGAGGGCATAGATTTATTAGTCAGGATCCACTCTTCAGGGTGGCAGGGGCCAGGGAGAAGAGCTCACAGCCCTGGAGGAAGCCAGGTGTCAGTGCTATATGGGTTTTCGTGGGGAGAGAGTGGCTCTGTGAATGGGGATGGCAATTCACTCCAGTCAGGGACACGTCTCCTTTCTGCTGAAAGACAGAATTTTTGTCCCTAAGACCTTTAAGAACTGTCATGGCCTCCAAAGCCCATGATGGGAGTTTCAAAGCCACAACATAAATGATATCACAATTAATTAATTGAGATTACACTTCATTGAGTTGGGGTCACTCCGTTGTTTAGGATATTCTACACTACATGTGTCTCCAGGCGTGGCTTAATCGTTAGAGGTGGGTGCTCTCTGCGGTTTTTAGAAAGCTTATCTTGGGCCCCCCAGAAGCCCATAGCACATACACACACCCTCTTGTTTTTCCCAGCTGTGGTCTAGCTGTCACTCTGTGGTTTTTGGAGCGCCAGCTTCCTTATTTTCCCTTTGGCCTTCAGGCCACCTCATTCCAGAAATTTCTCTTCTCTACCTACTTCCTCAATACTAAAAATGGGATCCGGCCTCCTGTATTTTACCTGCCACTCTTTCTGAGGTTCACACTCAGTCTGCCAGTTACTTCTCAGACACTCCTTTCCTCTGGGATGTAGGTGACACTGTAGGACATGTGGTCATGACCACTGACACTAGTTGAGTGCAGGCCCCGTGTTTGATCTATCATTTCATCTCCCAATTTGTGGATGAGGAAACTAAGGTTCAGTGAGATAACTTGATTATGATCACATAGCCAGAAAGTAGCTAAGTCCGAACCTCAACCCAATTGATTGGTTCAAGATTTGCCACTCAAAAACAACAACAACAACAACAACAACAACAAAAGAACCAAATTTGGGGGCTGGGGATTTAGCTCAGCGGCAAAAGCGCCTGCCTGGCAAGTGCAAGGTCGTGAGTTCGGTTCCCGGTACCGGAGAAAAACCAAAAAAAACCACACCACACACAAAAAAAAAAACAAGAACCAAATTTGGGAGCCTGAGAGTGTAGCTTGGTTTGCCCCGCTTGTCCAAGGCTCTGGGTTTGAACCCCAGCACTGAAAAATAAAACAAAACACAAACCCAGAGTTTTCAAAAGTTGAAGCTTTTTTTTTTTTCAGGGGAGAGTGCAAACGCGGTCCTCCACTACCACAAATCATGCAGTCGAGTTTCCCACATTTGGGGAAATCGCAGGGGTCAGCACATCCGGAGTGCAATGGATAAGCCTCGCCCTGGGAAAACCACCCTCTTGATCATGGCATCTCCCCCGCCAGATAAGTATCCAAAGTTAAAGCTTAACACATGTACAGAAGTGTGCTTGATATGTAAACCTACAGTCCAGCTACTTAACGCAAACACCTGTAGAGCTACCAGCCCGGTCAAGAGAGAAAGAGGCTCTGCTTTTGTCACAGGAGTTGGGGGCCTTCAGCTGGGAATTCTTGGATTTGGGCCTTGGCAACCACACTTTGCAGGTGAAGCTACAGAGGTTCAGAGCTCCTGCTGTGACTTGCCCAAGATCACAGAGCCTAGAAGGTGAGAGATAGAGAGGGAAGGAGAGAGAAGAGGGGAAAGGGAGAGAGAAAGATTCTTATCCAAAGGTCGCATAGCTAAAACCTACAGCCTGTTGAAACAACAAACTAAACCCCAATGAGCAAAACTGCCCTTTTTGGGGTGTTTACTGTTTGCAAGGGGCCATGTGCCAAGCCTCTGAGCGGCGGCAGCAACATTCTGCCATTTATGGGGTGATAACTCAGTGCCAGGCACCTTGGTCCTTTGCGTAATCATCTCACTTAATTCTGCCAACCACCCTACGACGTGGATCTCGAGCCCATTTTACCGACGAGGAGACTGAGGCCTGGAGCTCCGCGCAGCCAGGTCCAGGCCGCCGCGCTCCACGGGAGGCTGGGGAGGACCGAGTGGCGCGCAAGGAGTTAAGCGGGAGGCAGCGCTGTGGCTCCGGCGAGGAGAGCGCCGGGCTGAAGCGCGCTGCTGGCGGCGGCGCGGGGAGCTGGGGCTGGAGACGCGAAGTCCTGGGCAGCCGGCGAGGCGGCGAGAAGGCAGCGCGCGACAGGCCGGGC